ACTTTTGCAACTCCCCCACTGGCGAGACCACCCTTCTTAGGGGGTAAATAGGAAGGCATAACAGTGCACTTCACTCTTGTAACGAGCGTGGAATATCTGTCAAATACCCACCTTGCATTTTCCGTCATCGTTGAAAATGGGAGGATAAAATGGTGACGTGAAGTAAGTATGCCTTGTCGGTAACGAACGATTCGGCTATTTAAGCTGCGGTATGAGTAGAGCAGAAACGCACCTAGTTCCGGCGAAACTTATAACAATTAACTTATCTTTCTACACATTATAGTTTCTAGGAAACTGAAACACCTCCTCCAGGTCTGGATGGATGAATCGGCCCGACATTTCCTGGCATCAGCTTAATCTGGAGTAGATGATCGTTGACGGGTTTCCCCTGTTCAACAGTTAACATGGTCCAACCATCACAGAATGACTTATCATCATTGAAATCGCATCTGGCTCCCGGAGGCTGATCATCTGGAAGGGATTCCAGTCTAGTAACGTGCCAACTGATTGGACACCCTGATGACTTTACCGAACAAACTCCTGCATCTTTCCCATTCGGGGCAGTCTTGGGGCTATATCGCAGCGAGCGAATTATTCGTCCATGCATCTCATGTGACCCGACACCTCACAGAATCTCGAATCAATTTCGCAAGTAGCCAGTGGACTGCTTCCTGCTGAAACCTGCGCGTTTACTCGCAAAAGTGCAGTTGCAAAAGCAACCCACCTGTACAAGCATCATCCCATACAATTTTTCCGATATAACACCCTGCTGTGGTGTTTGTCGCGCGATAAACCTTCATCTTTCCCTTCTGAACGGCAGCAAATAAGATCGTTAAAAAAAAAATTCGCGTCGGTGGGTGGTGAAATGAGCCCAAGCGTTGCGAATCGCCCAAAGGCGGGTTTCTAAACAATATTCAAAATCCTCCTTAACTGAGTTTGATATACCATTTTCACTTTAAATCGGACACTTTTCAAACCAAATCGGACACTTTCAAACCAAATCGGACACTTTTCAACGCAAATCGGACACTTTTCAAATCAAATCGACACTTTTCAATGCAAATGACACTTTTCAACAACGATCGGACACTTTTCAAACCAAATCGGACACTTTTCAAACCAAATCGGACACTTTTCAAATCAAATCGGACACTTTTCAAATCAAATCGGACACTTTTCAAACCAAATCGGACACTTTTCAAATCAAATCGGACACTTTTCAAACCAAATCGGACACTTTTCAAATCAAATCGGACACACCCCTTACATTAGGTGTTGATAACTAGACCACACTAGGTACTGTTTTGCAAAGCCCGCCCCATTATCAATCGAGCTACGCACTTCTCAGCGCGGACAGGGTTTTCCGAGATGCTTCATGAAATCTGCTCCCTCGACTTTTTTTCGTTTTTGCCCTTTGCACACACAGTTCAACGGAAAAAGACTGATACCTGTATAGATCTGACTCCGCCCACTTAACAATGAAGTTACGTAAGTTCTGAAAATTTTTATAACTTTTTTTTCGACGTAAGTTCTTTCAACATCGGCAATCTTAAAACAAAAACGAATAACCATGCACAGCACACCATGCCCCGCCCCTCTGACTCCGCCCACTTGTGGTTATCGCGGAATTTTGGTTTTTCTTCCGGATTTTCGCTTTTTTGAGCTTTAGCGATTGAACTCCGCTCCCGTCCACCAATGGAAAGCACCGCCCACTTTGGGGAAGCCCCGCCCACTTTTCGAAAATGATGCAAATCGGCGGCTAGTGTCCGTACTGGCGGATTACGGCCTCTCCCGTCGCTCAGAAAAGTTCCCTTTTTTCGGTTTTTCCCCCTTTTTTTTATTCTATGTGCCGGGAGAGGCCGTAATCCGCCAGTACGGACACTAGCCCGCCGATTTGCATCATTTTCGAAAAGTGGGCGGGGCTTCCCCAAAGTGGGCGGAGCTTCCATTGGTGGGCGGAGCCAATCGCTAAAGCCTAAAAAAGCGAAAATCCGGAAGAAAAACCAAAATTCCGCGATAAACACAAGTGGGCGGGGTCAGAGGGGCGGGGCCTGGTGTGCTGTGCATGGTTATTCGTTTTGTGAAGATTGGATGTGAAAAGAACTACGTCGAAAAAAGTTATAAAAATTCAGAACTTAAGTAACATTGTTTAAAGGGCGGAGTCAGATCTGTATAGGTATCAATCTTTTTCAGTTGAAGTGTGTGTGCAAAGGGCAAAAACGAAAAAAAGTCGAGGGAGCAGATTTCATGAAGCATCTCGGAAAACCCTGTCCGCGCTGAGAAGTGGGCGGGGATAATGGGGCGGGGCTTGCAACAGTACCTAGTGTGGTCTCAACTAAGGGGTGTGTCCGATTTGATTTGAAAAGTGTCCGATTTGGTTTGAAAAGTGTCCGATTTGGTTTGAAAAGTGTCCGATTTGATTTGAAAAGTGTCCGATTTGGATTTGAAAAGTGTCCGATTTGATTTGAAAAGTGTCCGATTTGATTTGAAAAGTGTCCGATTTGGTTTGAAAAGTGTCCGATTTGGTTTGAAAAGTGTCCGATTTAAAGTGAAAATGGTATATATATCAAATGCTTACCTGCTATAGTAGTCCACCTCTTCTTGGAAAACAACAGAGCGAGCAGGACTTCCTTGAAGTTGCTCTGAAAAAATGTTGGCATACCGACGGAGACCTGGCGAAATCAAAAGAAGGACAGAAGTCCTCGTAAGGGATGTTTCTTTATCTCTTTCAAATTTTTTCCCGAAAGTTCAAGGTCACATAAATACTTGTGCTGCGGGCAGGAAATGATCAAGCCGAGTCCTGCCAATCTAGTGGCGGCTGACTCCTAGTTATCGTCCTAGAGCGAGGGCCGCACCAACGAAATACACTCTTGTTCGATACAACTGATGGGTTGTGAGGGGGCTGCGCTTGGAGCAGTGCCAGCCTCTTAGTATTGTTGCTATTGTTGTCGCTTGCTCGCTTCGGAAATTGTTGAATATAATCTAGCGTCGGGGCGAAACGGCACGCCCCGTCATCCTGAAACAACGCTGCATCGCAACAGCGGGCAAGCACTTTTATAGGGCTGGCTGATTTCAACCATACAGTCATCGATGGTTATTCAAGAAAATGTGGGGCGTGTATTTGCAATCACGCATCGGTACGTGCGCTTGAGCACCCGTCGCAGGAACGCCTCTTTTACTCCACCGACATGGACGATATATTACAGGTTGTCCGGAAAGTTCTCAGCGTTTTGTGTTACTATTTTTTGTACATTCATTGCTGATTAAAACTCATTCTCCCTTGCGTCTCAGTAGTACATCCTGAAGAGAATTTTTGCGCTATCTGATGGTATAATTGCCGTTTCACCATTGCTGATAAACCCCCCTTTTCCGCCCCAAAAACTTCTTGAATGCATGTCAAAAGAGCAACTTCGGACGATATTTTTCTTCAACTACAAATTGGGTCAATCCGCAGTCGAGACAGCTCGACAAATTAACCAGGTGTGGGGGCCCAATAGTGTTGGAGAAAGCACCGTGCGACAATGGTTCGACAAATTTCGTTCTGGAGATTTCAGCCTTGAAGATGAACCTCGTAGCGGTCGACCTAAAGCAATACCTGATGAGGATTTGAAGGCGTTTGTGGAGGCTGACCCCCATCCCAAACAGTTCGAGAGATTGCAGAAAAGCTAGGCGTTGGCAAATCCACCTGTTGTGGATGGTCTGAAAAGCAAATTGGAAAGTAAAAAAAATTTGCGACATGGCTTAAGAGTGACCGGCAGAAATTGGCACGTCTCGAGGTTTCCTCTTCACTGCTTTTGCGCAACAGAAACGACCCGTTTTTGGACCGAATTGTCACCTGTGATGAAAAGTGGATCATGTATGATAACAGGAGACGTTCCGGACAGTGGTTGGATGCCGACGAACCACCGAGGCAATTTCCAAAGCGAATCCTCACGAAAAAGGTGCACAGGTTGTGGTGGTCATCGGCTGGTGTGATCCACTATAACTTTTTATCACCAGGCTAAACCATCACAGCAGAACCCTACTGTGAAGGAATCGACGAAATGTACCGAAAATTTGCGTCAGCTGCAGCCAGCACTTTCAGAATAGATAAACGAGTCCGATTTTTTGCATCGACAACGCGGACCCACGGCAATTTCAAAATCACTATCCATAAATTGAACGAATTGGGGGTTGAAGTTCTACCTCACCCGCCATATTCTCCAGACCTTTCACCAACCGACTATCACCTTTTCAAACATTTTCAGAACTTTCCCTTGGCTGTAAAATACATGCACGCAGGACCAGGGGCGAAAAAAGGCCTTCGTAGATTTTCGTGATTCTCGACCACGCCAGTTTTTCCTTTGATGGAATTTAGCGAATGGTGTGAGGCAAAGTGTGCTAATTCAAAACGGATGCTCACGTCCATTGAATCCGATGATTATTAAGAAAGTTATGATCGTTAAAAGTGGAACACTCAAAACGCTGAGAACTTGCCGGACAACCTAATATTTATTTGCTCCAGATGTGCTTTTCTCATATGTAATAGCTCCAATCTGTGAAATATGAATAAGGCATAGCTCGAAAAAAAGAGCGTCGGTGCACCTCATCCTTTCAGCATGATTTGATTTTTTTTTAATCACAGTAACTAACCGTCTGACAGAAGCGATTCCGTAGAGACCATAATCGATGAATGGCTGACGCTATTGAGACGATAGGCGAACTCCAGAATGCACTAAAAAGACATGGATTTCCTTCCAGAACGTCCTGCATAACAGGTATCCTACCTGAATTGAAATCTGCTGAAAATAGGGACTGTACAGGGAGGCGGTACTGTTACCAGCTGGCAACGAAATCGATGCGAAGGCCGCCTGCGAGCCTCAAATAATTCTTTTTCTGCATATTGTATTTAGGAATCTTGAAGCATCAACTGTTAACGACTTTAATTCTCCGGATTCCGGCTAATTTTCTCTCCGCCCCTCCCCCCTCTCCATGCTTATGCACAGCCCTTGTCTACAGACCTGCCCAGACCCGTATTCTGTCCTCCAGAAATGAACACACATATGTACGTCAACCCAGGGATTTATTGAGCCCACTGGCGCTGTTGCGACCCTCAAGCTCTCCACCGGTCCTCCGGTCCTGGAATCATGGAAGCATCGGAAAGCCTCAGTATGGGCGCTGCCATCTATTCTTCATCTACGATGGCTTTGCACGTGTTTCCAGAAAATATCAGTAAGCTGGTCAAGATCTCAGGAGGTGAAAGTCGGGCTGAGGGAGTGGGAGGGGAGTAAAATGACAGGCAGGCCAGTCAGTGAGAAGCACTCTATGGAATAGTACGGGTGCGTCGCGTATCCTTGACGTAGGGGCCTATGCGGCAGATGTGCAGTGCCGAAGGATCGTTCGGTGGAGGTGGCCTAACTCTCATCAAGAAAAGAAGTCCCTGGATCAGTGGGCATGCAGTCCGCAGAAATACGATACACACTAAGGACAGCCAGTGAAGGGCGTAGGCTTGAAAAACGAATTGTTTATCAGAATGAATGGTTTCCGTGAGGCTTCATTGTTTTTAAATCTTGCTATAATCTACAAGGAACGGCAGAAGCTCTTCTCTCGTTGAATCTTTTAAATGAC